TCAGCTCTGTGCTTTGGACAAAGCCCATTCCTGCCTCTTCTCCACAACTCACCACCTTTTGGTCCGTCCCAGGGAAGCCCTCCAAAGGCTCGGCCATCCAGCTCCCAGGAAAGGTCTTCACCCATTTCCAGGACTGGAACACGGATCTTTATGGCAGGGACCAGCAGCAGAGGAGCCTCAGCACCTACTACTGCCACTCCTACTTTGATGCCATAACCTCTGGTGGGTGTTGGCCAGTGTGACCCTCACCCAAATTGTGCACCCCTCCCCTTGTCCTAGCCTGGTTCTGCTCTGATAAGCTCCAGTGGTGGGAAGGGGGGGTTTGACTCATCCACAGCCCTGCATGTGCTCCTGGGATTGGTGGAATCACTGATGCACATTGCTGCCGTGGAGCAGAGTGCATCTTGAGGGCACAGTGATGGCTGGGTGTGCCAGGAGCAGGGGAAACATCCTGAAACTTGGGCCATGGCAAGAATTAATCACTGCAGGAGCTCAGCCGTGAAAGATGAGCCTGGAGCTGTGATCAGCTTTTATCCTCTCCAGGCTGGAGCGAAGGCAGTGAATCATGAAAGCTGAGGGGATGACTGGAGAGGCAGAAGGGAACATCCAAAACATCCCCAAAGCACCACAGGGCTGCGTGGGGAGGAGAGGGGAACTGGGGAGCAGTGGTGGGGCGGTGGAATGAGGATTCTCACCCGGGACACCCTCCCTCTGCCTCACAGACGCGGATCACAACCTTTACATCTTCAAGGGCAGCCACTACTGGGTGGTGTCAGCGAGTGGCAACGCCAGTGACCCACAGCCCCTGGAGAGACACTGGCCTGGCCTCCCTGCTGGCATCGACGCCTGTGCCTGGTCCCAGCTCAGCAGCAAGTTCTACTTCTTCAAAGGTAGGTGAGGCCTGGGCACTCACCACAACAGGAGCTCCTGTTGTGGCTCCTGCTGCTCCTGCCTGCAGGGCTGGTTGTCCAGGTCTGGCTGGAGCACCTTCTCCTGCCCATGTCCCCTCCCAGTGCAGAGTTGAGGCACTGTGGTGTCCTGGGTGTGCAAAACCCTGGGCTCGGTGCCTGCCATGGATGAACCGTGTGTGATGTATCACCCCGGCAGCCACATCACCCCCTTGTGCCTCAGTTTCCCCATCAGCCCGTTCAGGAGAGCAGAGCTCACCAGTGTGTCAGAACCAAACCAGGTGCATCAAACCCTGTGGGTTCTCAGGGAGAAAACACTCCCCAAAGACACGTGGTGGAGAGGAGCCGAGTGTGGTGTTTTTGTGGCACACATGGATCCTTGTGTCATGCCGGGGGCTGAGCTGCCCCTGGAGCTGGAATGCCATCCATAAGCTGGCTGGCAGCACACCACAGCCGGATGGGGAGAGGAAGGTCAAACCAGGCAGCCTGGCTGCCAGGGTCAGCCCCAGCTTTTAATGGAAACCAGTTGCTGGTTCTTCAGAAAAGGGGCTTTGTTGCTGCTGCTGGGTGGGAGCCAAAGCCCCTCTGCCTCCACAGCCCTCGCCGCTCCCTCCGTCCCTCTCCAGGGCTGGGTCAGGCTGCAGCTTGGGAGCAGAAAGGGGCTTTTGTCTGCCTGTGCTGTGGGGACAGGACACTGTGGGGACAGGGCACTGTGGGGATGGGGCACTGTGAGGATGGCCGAGCCATCGGTCCCCATCACAATTCCTGCTGCTGCAGTGTCATCCCAGCCCAGGTCAGGTCCGGGTCTGTCTGTCCCATTCACTGTGCAGGAACAGGGGGAGGTTTTCAAGGAAGCAGCATGGGGGGGGGTCTTGCTCTGTCCCTGGCAGTCCCTTTCTGTGCCTTCAAACCCCTGAGCTGCTGTGCCTCAGTTTCCCCCCAGCCTGTTCCTTGGGGCAGCCCCGCAGTGGTGCTGGTTGGGTCACCAGTGGGATGGACATCATGGACACAAGGCTGGCTCCGTGGCTGAGTCTTTCCACATCTCCTGGAGCTGGCCCTGCCATGGACCCCTTTGGGGTGGGCTCTTATCCCCTCCCTGTCTCTCCCCAGGTGGCCGGTGCTGGCGCTACGCGGGCTCCACCCTGGAGACAGGTTTTCCCCAAAAGTGCAGCGCCCGCGGCCTCCCTCGGCACCCGGACACCGCGCTCTTCTTCCAGCAGCTCCGGCGCCTGGTGCTGTTCAAGGGCCCCAAGTACTTCGTGGTGAGCGAGGAGACCCTCGCTGTGGAGCCCTACTACCCCCGCAGCCTGCGGGACTGGCAGGGGCTGCCCCCCGGCACGGCGGGGGCCCTCACCCACCGCGACGGCTTCGTCTACTTCTTCCGGGACGACCAGTTCTGGAAGTTTGACCGGGCAAAGCTGCAAGTGGTGGCCACTGGCAAATGGGCCACCCAGCTCCCCTGGATGGGCTGCTGGGACGCAAACAGCGGGCAGGTCCTCTTCTGAGCAGAACCTGCTGGGATGGAACGGGGGTCTGAACCCCACCTCGCTCACCGCTGCCTGGATCCCTCTTTCTTTGACTCTGGGTTCCTGTCTGAGGATGGTTTGGCAGGGAGACCGGCTGCCTGTGGATGGCTGGAGCCATGGGATGGTGGAGCAGTGTCCCAGCACAGCACGGATGCAGTGGGACAGGTCTGCCACAGCCAGGTGGGCTTGGAGGCTTTGGGAGACAGTATTTTTTTTAAAAGACCACAAAAAATACATAAGCCGTGGAGACTGCAATCACACCCATTTCTGTTAACATTCAGGATATCGTTACACGTTTTTTTCCAAAGCAGGACTGGGGTTTGTTGCTACTTTTTGATATCTTTGTTGATATTTGTTGATATCTGTTGTTTTCCCACGACCAGAGAGAGAATTGCCTCGCCACTGCTTGGCTTAGGGTTTGGATGCTTTTAAATATGAGACTGAGAATGTTTCCTGCTTAAAACAAAAGGAAAAGAGACATTTGGACAAAACTCTGGATCGGTGTTAAGCTTTGCCCTTGCTGTGTGCTCAGAGCCCCAGGGCTGGGGGGTCAGGGATGCTTTCCTAGGCTGTGCTCACATCCCAGAGCTCTGGTGAGGCACCAGCTGGAGACACCAACATGGTGGGATTTGGGGGGAGAAACCAGAGGGGTTTGGTGCAGGAACCTCTTTGGGGTGGAGAGAGAGGGGAGGCACAGCTGAGATACGACCATGTGGCTGTGCAGCTCCCAGGCAGCTCTGCTTTGTCTCTGCAAGAGGCAGGATTGGTGTGTTTTTGAGTCCCTGTGCTACAGTTGGATGAACACGGGGTTGACAAATTACTGGGGGAGGAGGGGAAGAGGAGAGGGTGAGCAGGACAGACATGTCTGTGCATGCAGGCTCACAAGGACAGCACGGCTGCATATTCCTCATTCCTTTCCCGAAGCAGGCTCCCCACCTGGAAACGCCGCTGGCTCCTGTGCAGTCACCTGTCATGTCCACAAAGGGCCATCGTGTCCCATGGCAGGTGGGCAAACTCAGCTTCCCAGGGCTGGAATTCCGCGGCAGCAAATGCCATCGGTGCTGAGCAAGACGGGGCTCAACTTTATTAAAATGTCCTTTGATTTGAGAGATTCGGGGATTTTCACCGTGCCGGGGTCGTACACAGGGGGGCTGCTGTGTCACTGATGGTTCTCCCAGGACTCAGACCCCAGCACTGCTTTGGCCTGGTCCTGCTGTGCCAGTGCCGTGTCAGGGTGCTGTGTCAGGGTGCTGTGCTGTGGTGCCATGGTGCCAGGGTGCTTTCCCCATGCCAGCAGCTCTGAGGACTCTTTTCTTCAGCACAACATCCTCCATTTGCCCTCGCTCACCCTAAACCTTCCCTAGAGAGGGCAGGAGCCAGGCTTGCCCCAGGCAGGGTGCCAAGGCTGGTACTTCCCAAGGGTTTTCGGTGCAGCCAGCTGCCAGCTGGGATGTGGGTTTGGCAGGATGGAGAGCCACCACTCCTCCTGTTCTTCTTAAAACTTGTGAGTGAGCCCTTCGTGCACAGACACGAACATGGTCACTTCATCTGCTTAAAATCTCAGGGGACTTTCAGCGTTGCCAAAGAAACGGGGCCGCAGCATTTTCATTTGGAATTGAATGATAATAAGGCTTGCAGGGAGTCCCAAGGGCTTGGAAACCTCTTGGCAAATAAAAAGAACCTCTGGATACGTGGCATTGGGATTTCTGCTTGTTTTCATGTCCCAGTTTGGTTTTGGTTTGGTTTTTTTTTAAAGCTAATCTCTGGTTTCCTGACAGGGCTGTGTTTAAGATGCCTGTGGGTGTTTGGGGTTGGAGTGGGTATTGCTGAATTTGGCCTCAGCTTTTGTGCTTGCTGGATCAAAGGGAAGAAATGGATCCCACTGTAAACTCACTGATGGTGATGAAAACAGGGAAACTCTATTCCCTACTTCCTCCCAAATTACTGAGGATTTTTCCACACCTTGGGATGTGTTAATAGGTTTTTTCCCCCAGGCTGAATTCATGCTGATGGGGGCCCTCCAGCCTACTGAAGTGTGTGAAGGTGGATCCTTGCTTCCCAAGGGACAGGGAACACCCCAACCAGCTCCCTGGGCTGCCACTGGCTGTGGGATCTGCAGTGTGATGGGAGGATTAATGGGGGCATTGATGAGGTGATGGGGGATTAATGGAGGGATTGATGGGGGGATGGAGGATTCATGGGGAAAGCTGCCACTGGACAAGGTCTTTCTGTCAAGGCATTTGCTCTGGGTGTCAAGCAGGGTAGGAGAGCAGTGTCACTCCTGCTCCATGTACAGGAGGATTTCTGGGCCAGGCTGTACCCCAGGGATACTCTACACCTGCAGCTTTGCCAAGAAGCAGCAGTTCATTATCCCCTTTCCTGTTCCCTTAGGAGAAAGCAGGCATCCCATCTGCTGTGTGGCTGGAAGGTGAGGATGGGACAACCTCAAATCCTCTCCCCTCTTTGAGTTTTCCTTTTCCTCCCTGGCTTGCTGCTCTGTGTTTCCTGTGGCTGTGTCCCATCGGGAGCCTTGGGGTCCTGTGATGCTGCCGGGGCTGGGGCTGAGCACAGCATTTCTGGCAGGGATGGGGTGACTGTGCTGTATCAGCTGCACCCCACTGGTGTGGGGGGGACCTGGGGGAGGTGAGCTCACACCCTGAGCTGTGCAGTCAACCCCACTGGGTGCCCTGGCTGGAAATCCAGCTTCACAAGGGTCCTTTTCTCCTGCTGAGCTCCCTGGCTGGGCATGCCAGGCGCAGACTCCTCCAGCCTGCCACACATTCCCAGGCAGAATAGCTGGGATTCTTGCATTTCCTCCCCCAAAATGACACTGGCTGGACAGTGAGCTGCAGTGAGCATCAGCAGCTGGCTCCAGGGAGAGGACAGGTCTCTCAACACAGCAAGAAGCCCCCTAAAGCCCATGACAGAGCCCCCTGAGCACATGAGAGGCTCTGTTTCGGTCCTGAGACGTGAGCACTTCCCTGGTAGATTTGCTTTTAGCAGATGTACCTGGGTGTTGTTGCAGCTCTGCAAGCCCTGGGTTAGGGAGGGAGTATCCCACATTCCCAGAGGTGCCCACTCGTGTGTAGTTATTTCCTTAAAGCCCCAACTCCTGGAGTCACGCTGTCCCTGGAGGAGCTTGGCTTTTACCAAAGACCTCGCTGTTGTGAGCAATTTGGGAAGAAGTTTGCAAGGAAGCACAGGGCAGAGAAAGCCCAAAGGTGGGTGTGGAAATAAACCCTCCTCACCCTGAGGTTGCCCTGAAGATGCATCTTGTAGGGCCACGAGGTCACCCCACCTGCAGGAGAGGTGGGTGAAGGGCTGTTGGGAAGGGGGGAAAATCCCTCTCATGTGGTTGTGAGCAACTTGGGAAGCTGATGAGCTGCTAATTCCTTCCTGTCCTGGAGCCAGGGCCCTCTGGGGGAAAATCCACCCCTGGCATGGCTGGGGAGGAGCAGGTGCTGAAGGGTTAACAGGGAGTGTTTGCAGCCAGTCCCTTGTCACCAAGGAGAAGGGATCAGCACTTGGGAAGGAAACAAAACACCCACTGCCCAGGAGGGTGATTTCCTTCAGCCCTCAGACCCCAGAAGGGCTCTGGACACCAGGAGCACGGCGGCGTCACCGTCCTGGCCGGCAGGGAGCAAGTGGCACCGGGTGAGTGTGGCTGCTGGGGAGGTGGGCTGGGGGCATGGCTGGGGCAGCTCCCCATGTCCCCATCACCCACGTCCCCATCATCCCTCTCCCTCAACCTCCTCCCAGTCCCATGGCAGAATGTGGGGGACTCCGGGCCCGGCGGTGCGGAGCATCCGTCCCTACCCGACCAGCCAGCAGTACCTGTACGCCATGAAGGAGGACCTGGCGGAGTGGCTGAAGGAGCTGTATGACCTGGACATCGAGGTGGGCACCTTTGTGGAGGTGCTGGAAACGGGGGCTGTGCTCTGCTCCCACGCCAACAACGTCACCCAGGTGGCCGGGGAGTTCGCCCGCACCTACCCTGACGTGGCCCATCACCTCCACCTGCCCACTGCCGGTGTCACCTGCAACATCACAGCACAGCCAGGCACCTTCCAGGCCAGGGACAACGTCTCCAACTTCATCCAGTGGTGCAGGAAGGAGATGGATATCAAAGGTAAGATGCCAGGCTCCTGTTGCCCCATGTGTCTGTGTGCAACCCCCTCCAGGTGCTCCTGACATCACCTCGGGTGTTTTCCCGTGTGTCCCCCAAAATCAGTGCCACCCCAGCACGGGTCAGCACCCTGTGCATGCATCCCTGAGCTGGCATTCCTTGCACAAGCTCCTCCAGGCTTGGCAGCAGCTTTGCAAGGTGCTGGCACACACCCAGTGTGTTTGCTTGGGTGCAAGTATGTGCTGGAGGGGTGGAAAAGGAAAGGGTGTATGGCCCAGTGTGTCTCTGCCAGGCATGGCATGATCCCAGCTATAAGGAGAGCAGGAGAAATCCTGGCTCAGCAAAGGGTTTGTCAGCCTGTCCTACCACCAGTGGATGCCCAGGAAGGGGAATGGCACAGAGTGACACACCCTCAAGGCACCCAGACTTGAGTTTTGTGGCTTTGCAATGCCATGAAACAGCTGTAGATGCCCAAGAAGATCTTAAATCCTTTAATTTATCCCAGCTCTTGTTGAACCCAACCATATTCCCAGCGGGATGGCTCCAGTGAATAGCACCCCTTTGGGCGGGTTTTGACTCCATCTGTGCCCCCGTCCCCTTTTGTCCACATCCCCACGTGCCAGCCCTGGCTCAGCCCAGTCCTGCCCTGCCCCAGATGTGCTGATGTTTGAGACGGAGGACCTGGTGCTGAGGAAGAACGAGAAGAACTTCGTGCTGTGCCTGCTGGAGCTGGCACGTCGCGCCTCCCGCTTCGGCATGCGCGCCCCGACCCTGGTGCAGATGGAGGAGGAGATCGAGGAGGAGCTTCGCCAGGAGCTGGACCTGCCCCCCACAGACACCCCCCTGCCCCGGCCCCCCAGGAAACCACGGGACCTCAACAACCTCGACCAGATGGTGCGGAGGGGCACGGGATGGGGAGGAGCATGGGGATGGACGGGGATGGGGATGGGAATGGAGGTGGGGATGGGGATGGAGATGGATGGGGATGGCCATTCCAGGACCCATTCCTGCTGCCCGCAGGTCCAGCACCTGGTGAGCCGCTGTACCTGCCCTGTCCAGTTCCCCATGATCAAGATATCCGAAGGGAAATACCGCGTGGGCGACTCCGACACCCTCATCTTCGTCCGGGTGAGTCTGCTGCTCCCCGTGCCTTTGGGGCACAGGCACAAGGAATGCTTCTCTGCTGCCTTGATGCCTCTTCCATAATCCATCCCACAAATGGGGCCAGTGTGGGTGTTTTGACCATTATGATTCCCAAAGCAGGGCAGCAGGGAAGCTCAGCCCTGCTGTCAGTGTTTGCATGGCTGTAACCATCCATGTGTACAGGGCGGAACAGGCTGTCCCTCACCAAGCCAGAATCAGGTCTTACCCAGCAATAGGAACACTGAGAAGCTCTGTCCCTACCTGGATTCGTCCCTAAGCCTGGCCAAAGAACTCAGCACATGACAATGGAGAGGGTTTTTCCAAAATGGTCCCCTTTCTCCTTGGGGTGACGAAAGGTACCTGTTGGAATGGCAGCAGGAGCTGAGCCAGGAATGAAGCTTTCCCCTGGGAGACCTGGTGGCACTTAGGGCAAGCCCACTGCTCTCCAAGCCTGGCTGAGTGTGTCAACCCCAGGCTGACTAAAAAGTGGGGGGTGTCCCATCCCAAGCACCCCTCCGGGGCTCACGGCACACGGCATCCCGTGCAGATCCTGCGGGAGCACGTCATGGTGCGGGTCGGGGGCGGCTGGGACACGCTGGAGCACTACCTGGACAAGCACGACCCGTGTCGCTGCACCTCCCTCTGTGAGTCCCCGCATCCCCAAACCCCGTGGCTGGGTGAGGGCGGGGGGGTGTCTGTTGTGGGTCTCGATGTATCTGTGGCCGTTTTCAGGAGCAGGAGGCTCCTGAAAGCAGGAGGCTTTTGTACAGCCGTGCCTCGTTGTTTTGCCGGGGAATATCTGGTTTCGGGGACTCTCTTTGGCTTCGGTGGCCACTAGAGGTCATGGAAGACTTTCAGATGCAGCCAGACCCCAAAAGCCCCTTCTCCAGGAGCTCAGCTTTCTGCCAGCATCCTCGGGGGGCTGGATGCTGAGCGATGGCTGGGGGGATGCACTCGAGGGTGGGTGCAGGGGACAGGGATGCCGAACCCCTCCCCGTTTTCTCCCACAGCTCACAAACAAGCCTGGAAAACCAGGAGCCCGCAGCAGCAAGTGCAGCACGAGGTCTGGCTGTGCCCGGCCTTGAAGGCGGCCGCCCCCCGTGGTCCTCAGCCCACGCTGCTGGTCAGCCGCTCCCAGAGCCCCCTGCCCCCCGTCACCTGGGGGTCCCGTGTCCCTCCTCGCCCCCAGTCCCCTGCCACCCCCTCGGGTCACCCACAGGGTGCCAGCCCTCGCCGGGAGCCAGCACAGCCCCGGAGGGTCCCTTCGGGCAGGTAGGTGGTGCAGAGATGGTTCGTGCCCCAAACTGCCTGGTTTCAGAGCAGTTTTTCCTCACATCCTCGAATTTTGTTTCCCCCCTCTCTTCTGAACGTGCCCACACCAGGCTGGGTGGGGGGATGCAGCAGCTCCCTGGCTCCTCTCTGCTCTCTCTCCTTGCAGGATGCGGGAGCCACCGGCTGCCCCTCCGGGGAAGCAGCCACCACCATCCAGGGCTCCTGCTCGACCCAGCTCCCCTGGCCACGGGGTGACGGGCCGGGCACCCACCCCTTCCCGGCTGACCTTGCCAAACGGTGTGGGGGTCCCTAAGGCACCACATGGCAGCACCCCAGGGAAAACCCCCTTGGCATCGGCACGGGGCAGGTCCACAACACCCAGCCCACGAGTGACACCAGCACGTCCAAGAAGCACCCAGCAAGGAGGAGAATCACCTGTGGTGGCTGCCAGGCCACAGGAAACAGGAGCGCCCACCACAGTGACACCCCGTGCCCCCAGCCCCTTCAAGGGCTGTGCCCCCTCCTCACACCGAGGTGCCCAGGGAGACTCACAGAGACGGAAAAGCCCACGGGAAGGGAAACGGGGAGCCCTGAGCCAGGGTCAATCCCCCTCACCCCGAAATTCCTCCAGCCAGCCCCCAAAACAGAACTGCAGCGTTAAAACCCCCATCAAAGCCAGCCCGGCCACCTCCCGGCCCTCCACCCCTCTGGCCCATTTTGCTGAGGGATGCAAAGTCTGTGCTGCTGGGGGTGGTCCCCAGGGGACACAGCAGTGCCACCCAGCCCTGAACCCAAGGGCTGGGGGTGCTGAGGGACCTGGGGTGCCAGGGGATGAACCGAGGGGAGCCTGTGGCCCTGGTGATGGGAGCAAGAGTCCTCGGGGGTGCTGGGGGCACAGACAGCCCCCCGGCTATGACAGGGTGGTGGAGGAGCTCTCCCGCAGGCAGCATCCCCTGTGCCCTGTGGGGCTGGGGAGACAGGTCCCCAAAACACCGCCACGAGCTGCCCCACAGCCCACCACCCTCCCAGTCAAGGGGGAAGCAGAGGGGCTGGGAGTGGGGTCCCAGACCCCGCAAGGAGTGAGGGCCAACAACGTCCCCAAGCCCCGGCGGTGTCTGAAGAAGCCTGAGCGTGTGCCCTCCATCTACAAGCTGAAGCTGCGGCCCAAGGTGCGTCCCCGGCGGGACCACAGGCCAGGCAAGCGCCCCTCGCGCATCCCCACCCCGCTGGGGCATCGCCCACTTGCCCACCGGGGCCAGCATCGCCCCCCGGGGCCGCCCAGACCCCCCCCGCCCGGCAGCACACGCCCCCCGGCCAAGCCCTCCCCAGCCGACTGCAGCGCCTGGCTGACCGAGGATGATGAGGAGTCCTGGGTCTGAGCCCTCCCCGAGTGCCGGTGGGGACGGACCCCTCACTCCAAAAACAGGAGTGAGGGGTCCAGCTGAAGCTGGAGCTGCCGTGCCCGAGGCTGGCATGGGCGGCGTGATGGGGTTGCTCCCAGGCAGCCCGGGGGTCCTCCCGCCTCGTCTTCGGAGCTGCACACCCTCCTTCCCTGTGGATTTTTTTTTTTTTTACTGGTAATTCTTTGGATAAACAGGCGCTTTTGTGCTGGTTTGGGTGAAAAAATCCAGCCCCGAACTGAGAGCATGGGGTGCTTTCTGCAGGGAAGAGGGGTGTAGCCCCCACTAAAGCAGGGACACCCCACCCCTGGCATCCAAAGGTGTAAAACATCTCGAACCTCAGACTTCCCCGTCTGTACCATGGGACTAATGAGCCTCATGTCTCACAGCTCCAAGAGCCTTAATGAGTGTTTCAGTCACTTGGGTTGGGGGGTCACTGGAAGGACCCCTTGCTGACCCCCCCCAAGCTTCCTTGTGAGTGAAGGTGGGAGAACCAGAGGGGTCGTGGTCACCTCGAGGGGGGTGACTGTCCCTGAGGGTCATGGGGCCACACCCTGAGCCTGCACCACGGACCCAGCAATGCTGTTTGTGCAATAGAGAGGGACCAAAGCTCTTCTGTTTCCACACTTGTTTTTGTGTGGGTGAGGAGGGAGAGAGGACGATCCTGATGGGGGAGTCACGGCAGCCAGTCTGCTCCCTGTGGGCACAACAAATGTCCCTCCAGGAGCCCCACCAGGGGCCACGGATCCCCAACTCCCAAGAGGGGACAAAGCCAGCCCCACACCCCTGCAGAGACAGCAAAGGTGAGCCCTGGGGCTCCGGGGATGCAAAACCTGCTTGCAAAAATACTCCTGAGGCGGGTACAGAACAAGGGGGGACAGACCTGATTTTTAATTCGATTTCAAAGAAGGGGGTGCAGGGCATCATAGGCGGTGTAGACACCTTGGGAATCTCCGACAAGAAGTCCAGGAGGGAAAGGAAAGCCGAGTCCAGGCAACTGGGATGCTCACTGGGGCAGGAGGAGGAGGAGGAGAGGGAAGCATCCTTGGTGGGGCTGAGCCAAACCCAGGCATCACCTCCACATGAATGGGGGCAGAAACACAGCACTGTCCTGGCGACAGCGGCGGGGACATTCTAGCCTCTCCCATGCCCAGGAGCAGGTTGTTTTCAGCAGGACCAGGGTGGTGTTGGGGAAGTGGGAACACTTTGTACTACAGGGGGTGAGGCACGAGGTGCTTGTCGCTGCTGCTGTGCTCCTGAGTGCTCCGATTCCTGCGTGCCTGGACACGTCCTGCCTCAGAGTCCCCGCCTGCACCCGGGGTACCACCACCCAGGATACCACCACCTACCCCCTCCTGGGCTTTTGGGAAAGCGGCTCTTTGTAGCCCTCGTTTTCTTGGGAGCTGGGAAATGCTGACGAAGCAGTGAGAGTTATTATTACTAATATAACTTACTCTGTCTATAAAGTACAATAGAATATAACAATTATATTTATAACCTTTTTTTTTGTTTCTTTGTTTTTTTCAAAATACTAAAGAGATGCTATAAAAACCTGTAACTAATTGTGCTATAAACTGCAGGCTACAGGGTTGTAACAAACAATGTATTGGCTTAGTCGTTGATATGTGTACGTCGGAGCACTTTATAAATGCTTTATTATTAGCATTTACCAGGGAATTTCCTTCTCAGACAATTTGGAGGGATAAAGCTAGCCAGAGGTCTACAAGTGGACTTGCACATGTTCATAAATCCTGACGGGATGAGGTCGGATGGGGAAGCTGGGTTTGCCATGAAGGCAAGGGATGGTGACAAGTGCCACTGCCCTTCCTGGCTGAGATGGAATCGTGTCCTCCCATTGCCTCGTCTCTTTTTTAACCCTTAATTTTCTTCTTTCTTTTTTTTTTTCTTATTTTTTTCGATCAAGGGGTTTGGTTCCCCAAGCAGGGAGGGAGCAGGGTGACCCCCCCCCCTCCGGCCCTGGAGCAGGGGTGGGGTGGTGGAATGCACCGTGTTGGAGCTCAGCTGGACCTGCCTTTCATAGGAAGTGTTTCCAAGAGGCTGGTGATGCTGCTGGGCGATGGACACCTGGCTGTGGGGGGAAGAGGGACTGGTGTCCTTCTGCTTTACTGCCCGGAGCAGCACTGAATACCTTGAATACCTGCACCTCCCTGTTACACCAGGAGTCGCGGAGATGGTTTTGCTGGAGGATGGACCAGCCACAGATCCTGCCTCAGGAGGTGAGGATGGTATTTCCCCGTGCCTCACAGGGGGCAGCCAAGGAGAAACCACGTCCCCTTGCTCAGCTCTCACTGCCCCACCACCGTTTCCTAACAGGGGCTGCCCTTTGCCACCTGGCCCTGCGGGCGAGCTGCAAGTCTGGGGGGAAAAAAACGTGATGAAAGATTAAAAAAAAAATAATAAAAAAATTAAATGAGAGAGGTTCACTTCCCTGATAGGGATATGCAGAGAGAAAAAAAAAAAAAAAAGAAAAAAAAAGAAAAACAAACAAGTAGAAATGCAACGACAAATGCAACTCCAGCTCCCTATTGCTTCGGAGGCTGCCTTCCCAGGGCCGCGTCTCACCGGGATGGAGGCAGGATCGCCACGGGAAAACCCGGCGCGGGTGGGAGCTCGCGGCACCGCCGGTGGGTGCGGCGGCACAGGGGGCTGCCCACCCGCCCGGGAGACACCGGGGGCTTGGGTGGAAGCCGTGCAAAGCCGGCCGCTGGCTGAGCACGGGACGCGAGGTAGCGGAGGGGTGACCTGCCCGGCAAGGAGCGTTCCGATATTATTTGGTGTTCGACGGGCTGGCCGGGAGGAGGAGCCTTCCCGGGCTGGGCTGGGGCAGAGGAGGACTGAGAGCCCTGGGGAGGCAGCTCCCGGCACCCTGGGGATGTAAGGGGCAGGATGGGGGCTTTATTATTATTTTTTTCCCCCTTTCTTGCTTTCATCCGGAAATTCCACCTGGAAATCTGAGCCAAAAGAGATCCCGTGTAACCTGGCCTCTTGCTGGAGGCTGCTCTGTCCTCCAAGGGGAGAAACCCCAGCTCTGCAGGGAGGAAAACGGGACTCCTGTCTCCCTGCGCTCTAGCCATGGAACCACTCCCAGCACATCAGGATAGAGGTGCTGGATCATTCCCTTCCAGGGGCAGGGGATGGCAGGCAGCAGCAAGCATTGCCCCTGTGCTGCCAGAGAAGGAACTGCCAAGGATGGACCTGACAGCCAAAATTTGGGCACCCTCTGAAGCATCTCCTCCACCCTCCGGTGCCATGTACAACCCCTCCCGGGACGGCTTTGGCCTCAAGCTGAGGCTCAGGGAGGGCCTGGGGGTTTAGTCAAGGACCTCCCTCACCCATCACTACCTCCAGGCAGCCAACTGCTCCAACCTGCCACTGGCCACCACATCACCCTGCCCAAGGTGCGCTGTCCCCAAATGTCACCGCAGGGAGCCAGCGCCAGTGGGGAGCCAACCCTGAGGTGCCTCCAGCACAGCTCCCACCACAGCATCACCCCCACGGAGAGCAGAGACTCCAGGGCTCGCTGGGGAGCCGCGGTGCCCGAGGAAGGGGGGTCCACCGGGGCAGGGGGGGCTCACATGATGGTGCAGCGGTTCCTGCGCAGGGCGCCCTGGAAGCGGATGGTGGTGTGGACGTGCTTGCAGCGGGCGCAGCCCACGCTCTTGAGGAGCTCGCTGAAGAGCAGCAGGATGTGCCAGTTGTACTTGGCCGAGCACTCGATGTAGCCGCACTTCCACGTCTTCTTCACCAGGTTGGAGACGTTCCAGCGCGGGATCACCCGGCCCCGCTGCAGGTCCCGCTTGTTGCCCACGATGATGATGGGCGTCTCCGAGGTGCCGATGACCCTGGGGAGGGCGGGAGGTGAGGGGGGACAGAAGGGGACGGGGGCACAGTGTGATGACTGGCACAGTGTGATGACTGACTGGCCCAGAAGAGCTCAACCCATCCCAAACTGGCTCTTGGTTTTGGCTTGCTGAGTGGGATGTGCCTCCCCTTGTCCTGTCCTCTTGTCCCTCTCCATGGACAGCCACCCACCGTGCCACCCACAGCTTCTCTCCCAGGGATGGCTGCCCTCACCCACAGGGGGGACCTGCCCAGGGTCCTGCTCCTTCTCCTGCCCTCAGTCCCAGTTTTGATGTTGCTGTTGGGCTTCCAGCCCTGCAAAGGGGTTTTGTCCCAGTCTGATATCTCATCTCCAACTCCAGGAGCAGGGGAGCACTGGGACCAGCCATTCCACTCTGCTGAGAGCTGCAGGACAGGATGCATCATCCCACAAAGTGGTGCCTACCTTGTTTCCAGGATCTGCTGGCGGATGGTTTTGATGTACTCGAAGCTGTCAAAGCAACAGATGTCATAGACCAGGATGTAGGCATGGACGCTCCGGAGCCCCCTGCAACACACGTCCGCCCACTCCTGCAAGGTGCAGAGAGGGATCAATCCTGGCTTAGCCCCGCTGCTGGGACCAGGGGATGCCCCACACTGCTGCCAGCAGGCAGCAAGGGGGCTGAACACTCTCCAGCCCCGACACCCAGCACCCATCTCACCTCTGCTCTGTGACCAGCCCTGCACAGCTGCGTCTGCACCCACAGCCCTTCAGCCACCCCCTTCCCCTCCAGAGATCCCTTATCCCTCCTTGTTCATCCAGAGGAGAGGTAACAAGATTTGTCAGCCCCAATTCCTCTCCTGAGCGAGGATTACAGCCTGCCTAACACACAGTGGTGAGCTGGGAGTGGGGCTGAACGCAGCCCCCTGCCCTGGGTGTAAAAGCTTCATCCTGCAGAGCTCCTAATTAGGTGTGTCAATTAGTGATGCACCCCGCTCTTTGGGCAGGGCAGGTGAGGAGAATGCTGAGCCCCATCCCCATGGGTCTGAGGGTGATGGACCAGCAGCTCTGTGGGTCAGAGAGGGAGGGTGATGGCAGGTCTGTTTAGAGGGGACATGGGGACAGGAGAGGAGCAGTG